CTCCCTTCTCTGGGCAGGAGCTTCCCGCCTCGGAGCGCTCCCGCCCCTGCAAGCTGGGATAAGGACTTCCTACAGGTTTCAGGGATGGAAGAGGACCAAAGAGGGGTGATCTATAGCATAGTGAAGGGGGCACGAAACCGCTGGCATCCAAAATAGCATTACATACACACAAAAAGAAATTGAGGGGACAGTGGTTTGGTATTGAAAAGTAAACACAGTGAACTGGAGTAACCGCTTAAGAAGGAAACGAAGGAGGAAAGATCCGGTAAATGTTGTATAATCACCCAAACCTGTAAGGGACCCTGAACCTCTTTCTTGCTCACTTGCTTTCTTGCTTTCTTTTCCGTCTCTCTTGTTGTTATTGTTGTTGCTGCTGCTGCTGCTGCTGCTGCTTTGAGACAGGGTCTTGCTGTGTGTTCCAGGCTGGCCTTGAACTCACTGTAGTTCCAGCTGGGCTCCAGCTCACAGCAGCCTTCTGCGTGAGCTTCCCAAGTGCTGGCATGACAGGCGTGCCCACCAAGCCTGGCTCTGCGACACACCTCAGCGGATTGTGTGCCTCCCTGCAGCACCCAGCACGGGCCCCACACGGGTCATGCGAACTCCCCCCTGCATGCTAGAAAGTCGGTCGTTGTGCTCGCCGGGCGGCGGGCTCCCAAGGCACCGCCTCAGCCCCTGGGTAGGCTGGGCCAGGGCTGCACTTGTGGCTGTGTCTCCTGGCGAGGCCCTGGGTCCATCCCCACTTCCACAGCAATCAAACCAAAGCAAACCCAGGTACAAGTTTCAGGGCTCTGAGGGGCCTCCACTTTTTGGTGGCAGATATTTTAGCACCTTTTAAATTCAGTCTATGCGGCTGCCTCTACTCCCTTGCTGCTGTTCCTCCCTTTTTGCTCTTGCTCTTTCGCTGTTTTCTACCACCGTGAACTGCTGCCCTCTGCCATGTGACGCTGCCTTGGAGCCAGCCGAGTATGGACTGAAGTCTCCACCAACTGTGAGCTACCTTTCCTTCCATAAAATAAATAAATTATTTAATCAATTGATTTCAGTCTGGAAAGTAGAGTTGCTAGCTAAGAAAGTTTAATGGCTCTGCAAAAAGGAAATGTGCATTGTCTTATTTTAAAAAATATGTTTTATTCGTCTCACTTCACAATAAAAGGATAGTAAGGCTGTTGTACACTAAAATTTATGCCATTTCTGAATAAAAAAGATACATTTTCGAATTAATTCAGAGGGAAAAGACCAGGGCAGATGCCTGTGCCGTGCTACCTGTGTCCTAAGAACTATTCTTACGGCTGCTTTGGGCTATCATTGGTGTTCTCTGAGGCAGCAGATGTGAACCTTGAAGCAAATCCTCTGTCGTCTGCACAAGTATCACTTTATCCACATCTTTTTGTTTTTCTACTTTTTTTTTTGGTGGTCGGCTCAGCCCACCCTGGAGGTGGGGCTGGCGCAGCATGTGGTGCCAGGGATGGAACCGCGGCGCTTAAGGCAGCTGAGCTACCTCACCAGCTCCCTTTTCCTCATCTTAAACTGCATGTCAGTCACAGTGACAAGAGTTGTGCGGCAGCTCCCAAACATCCCAGCGCTTACCAGCATTTAGGTGCTTTTGAATACGGCAAGCAGAAAGAAGACGCAAACTAAAAAAAGTGCACCATGACCTCTTCTCTTTCTCTCCTCCCTTGAACCGCTTCAAGGCAAGGGTGATCTTTCCACCACCTGGTGAAGATTAATTCAGGCATTTTTCCTCCTCCTGGTACACTGTTATAACAACAGCTTTCTTTTCCTTTCCAGTCCATCAGATTAGTTGAGAACTTTGAAAAACAGAAAACCCACCTGATTCTTCTTGAACATGCAAAACCTCACATCAGCCTGAATTCTTGTTGTTTGTTTGATTTTATATTTTTCAGGCAGGTTCTCAACACGTAGTTCATGGCTGGTCTTGAACTCAGTCCAGGCTGGCCTTGAACTTGTGGCGAACCTCCTGCGTCAGCCGTTAGTTCTTTTTTTTTTTTTTTTTTTTTTTTGCGGAACCAGGGATTGAACTCAGGCCCTTGTGCTTGCCAGGCGAGCGCTTATTCTACTGAGCCATCTCCCCGGCCCCCTCAGCCCTTAGTTCTTACTCTTCCTTTGCTGGCAAGCTGGACTCAGCTCGACCAAGTGAAGGGGAGGGAGCTCCTTCACAGTTCATTCCCTTGCAATCTTCTCTCTGAGCCCCTGAGACGCAGCAGCCCTCTTCATTGGCCAAGAGGGAGCAGCTCCAGCGAGAAGACACTGAGCAAACTGCGGTCATGGTAGGCCAGGCGCGCGAGGCAGAAAGGCGCATGCGTCTCATCCCAGGCCACGTTCTGACACACCCAGTTTTCTTCTAAAGGGACAGACAACACCACTGTTTTCCAAAATAATTGTGAACAATGATTTACTATAAAAAATTAAGCAATTTTAATTTGTACAAAACTAAGATACACTTAAAGCTTTTACCTGGAGTTTTATCTTTCGATTTATTCTTGGTGGAAAAGAAATTTGCTCTCAAACAGGTATTTGTAAGCGGAATATCTTTTCTTGTGTTTACACTTCATAACTGCACTTACACGTCCAGTTTATGGCTGTGGCCCTGTGGAGCCCAAAGTACTCGTCAGTCATTCACTGCTTCATGATAGAATGCCTTTAAGCTACAGGTTTTTCTCTACATAAGAAAAATACAGAGTGCAGGGTCTCCGCACGGAGCTACGTCTCAACCCTTTCGCTTTTCTATTTTGAGAGAGTCTCACCAAGTTGCTCAGGCTACTATATAATTATAATCAAATTTATGGTCCTCCTGCTTCAGCCTCCTGAGTAGCTGGGATTAGAGGCATGGGCTACCACTCTCAGCTAAGAATACCTTCTTACTCCTTAAGAAGTTCTTAAATGGATGGTACAGCCTTAATATTTGCCAGTTTGGTAGTTGACATGTTGTGCTGATAGGTTGATTCTGTTTGTTTCTAGAAGCAGCTTTTGAGCTAGAGTCAGTGTCTGTGTAAAGAATTGCTTTTGTGTATCTTGGATGCAGCCGTCTTCCTTAATGCTGTATGATCATAAGTACTTGGGTGAGGTGTTGGCGGGAGGAGAGAGTACTGTGACTACAGCGCGCGGTTAGGGAGATAGCCAGCCTGGCTCGTCATTTTGTTTTCTGCGCCAGCAGTCCTCTGTGAAATGACGCTGGGGCTGCTGGGCTGCTGGATGACTTTCTTTTTCTTTGCATGACTGAGCTCACCGGCTGCTAAAAACCGTGTAGAAACAAGATTTTAAAATTCACCTGCTGAGCAAACTGCCATCTCTCGATTTGAAAGTGATGATTTCCTTTAACTGGATAGTAATTATTAACTGTACAAATTGCTGACTTTTGAGGCTTACCGGAACTTTGATTTCACTTCCTTTATAATTAATAACACTGAAAGTATTTCAGTTATAAATCATTTTGAATGAGTGTCCTGAGAGAAAAAGAAAAAAAAAAAAAGAGAAGACTTTTTACTCCTTTTCTCTGCTTGCCTTATGGTATTTTATTATATATTTTCATTGACTACATGTTTATTGATCCCAGCTCTGAAAATTAGGTATTAAAATCCTTAAAGGATAACATAATTTTAAAGTGCCTGTTGCCCTCTGGACACAGAAAAAAAAATTAATATTTATTGCCTGAAAATTGCCTTTACTTTCAATATGGCTTTGAAAAGACAAAAATCCGAATTCTCTAAGAAAGGCAAATGAGAAAAAAAGGGTGGCAGTTCAAGATTGGCTGATGGGGCCCAGGGCAGATAATGCAGTGTTTATTTCATTGTATTGAAAATCTTTGTAAAGTACTGCACCATTCATATAAAAAAATCTTTGTGATCTGGGACTTTATAATCCCTGATTTCTGTTCATTCAGCAGTATTTCTGTGTAATACATAATACATCTGTCATTATTATTATTATTATTATTATTATTATTATTATTATTATTATTTGTATTTTTAGGGAAGGGTCTACAGGGTGTTCAGGGTCTCACTACTAGATTGAGGGCCAGGGAGATAGCTCAGTAGAATAAGCGCTTGCCCAGCAAGTTCAGGGTCCTAAGTTCAATCCCCAGTACCTCAAAAAAACCCAACCAAACAAAAAAAAACAAAACTACTAGATCGGACTCGTAGTGATCCGCCTGTTTACAGCCTCCCAAGAGCTGGGATTACAGGCGCGCGCCACCACGGCCAGTCTCAAGTGCAGTCTCAGCGCGTCCCGGGGATGGGGCCAGAACAACAGGCCTGAGGATCAAAGCCCCGGCCCCTGTGCCTGCTTGCAGGCACTTTAATCTGCTCAACTATTGGGCTGGCTGTCATTGGTATATCTACCACCACATTATAATTTTTTTATGGTTTAAAAAAAGAAAGAATAACTCATGCCCCACTGAGCAAGTTCCCATGTCTTCTCCACTATCTTAGACCCGCCTCACCACATGGTTTTCATCTATAAAAGTCCCTGCAAAAGACAACTTCCCGGGGGGCGGGAAGGGGGAACTACCTGCTCGGCCCCCCTCCTCCTGTCCCTCTCTTGGGACAGGAGCTTTCTCTCTCTCAATAAATATATTCTGCTCATTAAAAAAAAAAAAAAAAACGAATGAGGTGAAAGCTCAGTGCTCACTCCGGGTCCTTTGCTTTGGCTCATCTCTGTCCTTGAGTTCCTAAAGCAGCCTGGGAACAGGACAAAGGGTCAACCTGCTGCGTCTTCGTAGCTACACCCAAGCACCTGGTCACAGTCTGACTAGGTCATAGTCCAGCACCTGCAGGACCCTGGGGACTGGGGATTCGGTCCATAGAACCTAAAAAAGAAGGGAGGAGAAACCTTCAAAACCTGGCACTGTCTGATCTTGAGAAAATGCCCATCTCCCAGCTTCCGTAGGATTTTATCCCCTTGGTTAGATGTGTCCATGTGAGAACAGCAGCGTGTGACTTCCTGATTGCCGCTCTGTGCTTTCACTTATTTTCTCTTTGCAGCTTGAGGAAGAACTTGATCCTGAAGAGAGAGACAACTTCCTCCAGCAGCTCTATAAGTTTATGGAAGACAGAGGTATTTCAAGCTCATTTCCTTTGCAGTCTCAGTCTAGGTGTACATTATCATTAGCACTGTGGGTGTGCGGTGCCTTAGTTACAGCCTAAGGGCCACCATGTGATAATTGGTAACTATGTAGAGTATAAATAAGCTTAATGTGTATTTTGAGGAAAAATATAGATGAAAGCTGTTTTGGTGTAATGAAACTTAGCCTCCCTGGAATGTATATAAACAAAAAATACTATTCAGAAATAGAAAAAGGCACGTTATGATGTTAATTTGCATACTCATTTAGTACTAAATGTTTATGGCAAGCAAACTAGCCCAGTCCTTGGTCTCAACAAATTAAACATAATAGGTGATCAATCTCTTTCTAAATGGAATTTCTAGAGAGGTACAAGAAATAGAACCAGGGGCCAGCGAGATGGCTCAGTGGAATAAGCGCTTCCCTGGCAAGTGCAAGGGTTCAAGTTCAATCCCCGGTTCCACCAAAAAAAAAAGAAATAGAACCATTAGGAATTATCAGCCTCTTTGACCTTCAGTAGTCCTAGAAAATCTTCAGATAAACTAGTTCTAGCTGTTCTCTGCTGGTCAGAAATTATCCTTCAAATTACTGTCAGCAGATCCACCATTTACGTTAAAGCAACGAGAATGAACCACATTCTAAAACTTTGAATTATGTCGTCCAAAACTTCTCACTGTGTGTGTGACTAAGTGAACCAGGAACATTCTGGGCCGTAGCTTGCAGTGTAAGCTTCAGTTAGTTCTGCCTGCTCTGCCAGCGGAGAGATGATTTTATTAGTGGTAGGAATACAGTACTGAGACATGCCCGCGCACAAAGCTGCATGATGACTGGAGAGGATGCTTATGTCCTCTTATATCATTAAATGTTCTCTAGATAAGTGCCTCCAATTAAAGAAATTTGGAGAAGTTGATAGCTCTCTTTTGAGTCTGTGTCTTCCATGTGAATAAGCATTTTATTTTTACCCTCTGGTATTATAAAGGTACTCCAATCAACAAACCACCTGTCTTGGGCTATAAAGATCTCAATCTCTTCAAACTTTTTAGACTGGTTTACCATCAGGGTGGATGTGACAATGTAAGTATAACATTGCTCTTTGAAAAATGTGTGTAATGAACAGCGAACGTACTCGTTGCATGTGCCCCTTTATTAATAATGCATTTTGTTAACGAACATAGGATATTAGTGTTGAAATTTTCCCTTTGTAAATGTTAACAAACAGAAACTTCGTTTTCCAGATCGATAGTGGTGCTATATGGAAGCAAATTTATATGGACCTTGGCATTCCGATTTTGAACTCGGCTGCTTCCTACAATGTAAAAACTGCTTATAGAAAGTAAGTAATATGATTTATTTATTATTATTATTATTATTATTATTTTTTGGTGGAACCGGGGATTGAACTCAGGCCCTTGCGTTTGCCAGGGAAGCGCTTATTCCACTGAGCCATCTCCCTGGCCCCAGTAATGTAATTTATTAAAGAATACATATTTTCAGGAAATGTTTTCCTTTTCATTTGTAGAGTATATTAGTCAACTAATATAACAAGTATATTAGTCAACTTTGTCATTGCTGGGACAGACACCTCATATACAGAGTCAGAAGTAAGAGAGGTTGATTTTGGCTCACGGTTCCTAAGGTTTCAGTCCATGGCAGGCTGGATCCAAGAAGGAAATGTCAGGGTGGGAAAGCATGGCAGAGAAAAGCTGCTTGCCTCATGGTACCCGGGAAGCAGAGAGTAAAGGCCAGGGACCAGATGGTCCCCAATGTCTTGCTCCTGTGACCCACCCTTCCACTATCCTCTAGCTCCAGGTGACCCATGTAGCTCCACGGTAGCCCGTTGACGATTGACGACGTTACTGTCTTCACAGTCCTTTCACCTCTCCAAGAGCCTCAGTCCAGTCAACATTTAGGATCAACTGACCCAAGACAGGTGCATCAACTAACACACATAAATGTTATGTTTCTAGTACATAGAAGGGCTTAGCAAAATCAGGATGCAAGCATTATTTACAGCCAGAAATTATTCACATCAAACAGCTTTTAAAATCAGAATTGTGATAGCTGTGTTTTGCTGTTGGGAGCTTAGTCTTTTCGGGCAGGCATTTTCATTTATGGTTGGTATTTCTGCTTACATTCTATTGAGACCCCCAGATCTTGGTAACATCAAAAAAGTACTTTTGACAAATGATCCTGAGTCTTACCTTTTTGAGATCCTGTATGTTCAGTAGTGTATTCAAGTTAAATGCAAAGGTGAAGACTTACTAAAATGACATGTCATTTGTTTAGGTATCTCTATGGTTTTGAAGAGTACTGCCGCTCTGCAAATATTCGATTTAGAACCATTCATCATCATGAGCCAAAAGTAAAAGTGGAAAAGAAAGACTCGGACGAATCAATGGCAGAGGCTCTCGCAGTAGATCCAGAAATGCCGTTAGTGGAAGTAAAGAGCGAGCTAGAGGAAAATACTGATTCAAATAGTGAGAGTGAAAGAGAAGACAGCGAATTAAAATCTCCAAGGGTGAGTGTTATAAATAGGTTTAGTGGTTTATTGTAAGCACTATTTTTAAACTTTGATTGTGGGTGTCTTTAATAATTTGTTTGTTTGTTTATTTGGTGCAGGGTCTCACTACTCAGCTCTGACTCATAATGATCCTCCTGTCTGAGCCTCCCCGGCACTGGGATTACAGGAGTGTGCCACCAAGCCCGGTTTTGGTGGCTGGCACAGTGTGCCCAAGGTTCTGGGGCCAGCATGGCTTGCAGTATCGGGGATCAAACTCAGGTCCTTACACTTGGCAGGCAGGCGCTTAGCCCACCGAGCTACCTCCCCAGCCTTGTGGATGTCTTTAGATAGACACAAAAGTGCTACAGTGCACTTTGTTTATTTTACAGAATTTCGTTACGCCTCAGGCAGACTAACTTAGCTGTTTCTAAATATGTCTCACTTTAGTGGCTGGGAAGATAGCTCAGCGGCATAGGTACCTGCCTGGCAAGCGAGAGATCCTGACTTTCATCCCTGGTTCCACAAATAAATAAATCTGTCTATCTCATGCTATTCCCTGCACTCAAATAACTTTTGTCTTGTTTTCACATGTCCATTCTTATCTTCAGTCACAAATATTCCCCTCCTTCAAGCCTTCTGCTTGAATGTCATTGAATTTTTCTTTGGTACTAGGAATTGAACTCAGGACCTCACACTTGCCAGGGAGGCATTTTGCTGCTGAGCTACGTCTCCGGCCACCTCGCTAATCACACTGCCCGCCTTATCTAAAGGTGTAGCTGCGTCCTCCCGTGGGCATTCTCAGTCCTGCTAATGTGGCTCTTCTCTATGCTTTACTTATGTGTTATTAGGATTATTAGGGGTTTTTGTCTCTTTCTCCTCATTCTGTGCTATATCATACTCTGCAAGAGGAGGGGTGTGTGTGTGTGTGTGTGTGTGTCCCCACACATACATGTTAATGCTAGCGATGGAATCTGGGATCTTCCCACTGAGCTAAATCCCAGCCACCCGCCCTTTTAGAGACAGGTTTTCACTAAGTTGCCCCCTTTAGACTTAGACTTGGAATTGTCTTGTCGCAGCTTCCCAGAGTGCTAGAGTCACAGGATTACGGGCCTGCACCCCACGCCCAGCTCAGGTGCTGTTTTGCACTGACAGATCCCAGGCACCTGGAGTGATGCCTAGCACATAGTGAGTGCGCCTCAAAAGCTAGCGAATGAGTGTCTCCTCCGCATGGTACGTGTGCGCCTCGCGTGGCTCTGCTCCCCTCCGTACCTGCGCACAACTGTGAGCGGCCCTGCTTGCGTGCTCACTGGCTTTATCTTCCAGCTCTGCCTTCAGTTAGCAGATCTGTGAAAACAAATGTCACCCACCATCCTCAGTGTCTGGTGCTCAGTGATGGCTTTGCAGTGAGAGTTGTCACAAACGTTTGTTTCCTATACAATATCCTACTTTTCAGTGAAGTCAAATTTAGTAGAAGAGGTAAAATTGCCTTTTCCTACAGCTGTCCAGAAATTGTTTTCACACTGACCATTCTGATTGTCATTTCGTCAGTGGAATATTCTAATGAAGTCATGAAATGTTCAAACTGATGCTTTTTTGTTCTTTTTCTTTCAATTTTAATTTCCTTTTTAAAAAAAATTATTTATTTATTTATTTATTTATTTATTTATTTGGTGCAGGGTTTCACTACACAACTTAGAGTCATAGTGATCCTCCTGTCTCAGTCTCCCCAGCTCTGGGATTACAGGCGTGTTCCACCACCAGTGGTTTTGGTGGCTGGCTCAGTGTGGGGCGGCACAGCCTGTGGTACCAGGGATCAAACTTGGGTCCTTGTGCTTGCCAGGCAGGCTCTTGGACCAGTGAACTATCTTCCCAACCCTTTTACTATATTTTCTAAAGTGTGGTAAAATAAACATAGCCTACAAGTTAGCATCTTAGTCACCTAATGCCAGTGTGTTGGCACTGAGCATTGTGTGTCTGGCACCTGCTCCAGAATGGTCTCACCTTGCAAAAGTGAGATCCTCTACCTGTTAAGCAGCAACGCTTTCTTCCTCCCTCCCTCAGCCCGTCACCACCACCATTTTGTTTCTCATGTCCATGGGCTTGGTACTCTGGGCACGTGAGTGCAGTCTCACAGTACTCAGTATTTCACTCAGCATAATGTCTTCAGGGCTCATCCACGTGGCCACACAGAGTGAGACGAGTGAGCCGGGGATATAGCTCAGCTGCATGAGCGCTTGCCTGGCAAGTGCGAGGTCCTGAGTTTGATTCCTGGTACAAAAAACAAAACAAAACACAAGCAGGACAGTATTATATGTCTTGTAGACAGACTTTCTTATATTTCATCAAGACCTTTGTCATCCCGTGTGAGATGCTGGCTGGTATGGTCGGAACATAAATTTATCTTTACCAAGATTTGCCCTCAGCTTTTACTACTATAAAAAGTGCTTTTGGGCCGGGAAGATGGCTCAGTAGAATAAGCACTTGCCTGGCAAGCGCACTGGCCTGAACTCAATCCCCAGTTCTGCCAAAAAAAGAAAAAAGAAAGTGCTGTTGCCAGGCATGGGGGCATACCCCTGCAATCCCAGCATTCAAGAGGCTGAGACAGGAGGATTGTTCTGAGTTCAAGGGCAGCCTGCCTACATAGTGATTTTCTTTTTTCGGTTTTTTTTTTTTTTTTTTTTTTTTTGGCGGAACCAGGGATTGAACTTAGGGCCTTGGACTTGCCAGGCAAGGGCTTATTTTACTGAGCCATCTCCCTGGCCTCTACATAGTGATTTTCAAGGCCAGCCTGAACTAATTAGCAAAGACTGTATCTTTAAAAAAAAAAAAAAAAATAGATGCTGCAGCATATACACGTGTAACAACATCCTCTTTATTTTTCTGAGTGTGGAAACCAGACTTCTGAAAAAGAGGGTCTCTGGGACAGAAGTACCCGGAATCTTGATGGGTTCTAGCTGTTTTCGTCCACTTTCCTCATGCACGTTACTGGCTGCGCTCTCCGTGTGATGTCACCGCAGTGGAACGTGGGTTCTTAGGTTCCGCAGTAGAGATACATTTCTTCTTTCTTTGCCTTTGAAGTGTAAATAGCAGCTAGGAACTGGGGAAAGGTTTGCTTGTTGAGAGACCAGTTGGGAAGTACTCGCGTGTTCCCTGTGTGGCCAGCACCTGAAGGTTCCCAGCTCTGTGAAAGCCAGTGCCAGTGTCACCCAGAGCCTCACTCAGACCTGCTCACTGTTTTGCTAAAATATGGCCACACACAGATACAGTAACAGTGACCTGAAGTTTGTGCTGATAAATACTAGAATTATACCTCACAGAGCTTTAAAAGAGGCCAAGATTTAGGGAGTTGATCTTAGTACTGTTGTTAACCTTTTGTCATTAGCATTTGGGGAATTCATCTGAAATTTTTACCGTAATCAAGAAATGTCAAAAATAGAATTAAAGGGGCCGGGGAGATGGCTCAGTAGAATAAGCGCTTGCCTGGCAAGTTCAATCCCTGGTTCCACCAAAAAAAAAAAAAAAAGAATCAAATAAATGTAGTGAACAGGGGCCGGGGAGATAGCTCAGTGGAATAAGTGCTTCCCTGGTAAGCTGAAGGGCCTGAGTTCAATCCCCAGTTCTGCAAAAAAAAAAAAACCCCAAAAACCAAAAAAAACCAAAAAACAAAATGTAGTGAACAAAGAAGACTTATTGATGGATGGATGAATTTGCTATATCCTCAGCCCCAGGAGGAAATTTTTATTTTATTTTATTTTTATTTTTTTGTGTTAAAAGGAGTAATTCTGTTTTCAATTTCATTTTTTTTTGGGGGGGGGGGCGGTACCAGAGATTGAACTCAGGGCCTTGTGCTTGCCAGGCAAGCACTTATTCTACTGAGCTATCTCCCTGGCCCCACTGTGTGTTAAAAGGGAAACATCAAATTTAATTGAAAGAAAAAAAAAAAAAAAACACTAGACATTGTCAGCAAGAATGACATAGCAAACCAGCTCCTGAAAAAGTTCAGCACCTTGGTGAATATGTGTAGTAGAAAGTGAAAAGAAAAACAAAATGCTACTTAACTTAAAATGTTACAAGGTAGGGCTGAGGAGATAGCTCAGTAAAATAAGCACTTGCCTGGCAAGCGCAGGGATCTGAGTTCAGTCCCCGGTCCTGCAAAAAAAAAGAAAAAAAAAAAAAAGTTACAAGGTTTTTGCAATTGCAAATCAACTCATTTTATTGGTGAATAAATCCCCTGGCTATCCCCTGGTATCAGTGTGTGTGCAGCCTTGTCCCCTGAATGTCTGGTGCAGTTAAAAAACCCAGTGTTGCCACACAGAACAAATTCTCCATTTCAGCCAACTCTTAGTAGAGGGTCAATTAGCACAGCACTGTCTCCTTGGACAAAGAGCATTGGGCTGTTTCATTTCATTGATTTGTATGTCTCTTCATCAATTTCTGTAGTGGCCACCATTTCTTGCGCATCTGCCAATGTCGTGTTTAAATGCTGATCGTAAGCGTGTGATTTCCTCAAAGCTCTCCGTCAGTCCTCATTTTCACACAGATCCGCCCATTCAGGCTGAGCCTGATGAGATCTGGGGGCTCCTCTACGATGTTGTTGGTCCATGTTGCCTGCCATTTTTCAAACTGCAAACATTTTGATTTTTATACTTTGTAGCAAGGGATCATGGTAGATATGGACATTATTATTATTATTATTATTAATACATTTTTTGGGGGGGTGGAACTGGGGATTGAACTCAGGCCCTTGCGCTTGCCAGGGAAGCGCTTATTCCACCGAGCCATCTCCCCGGCCCCAAATGTTCTTTTTTTTTTGATGGCACTGGGGATTGAACTCAGGCCCTTGTGCTTGCCAGGAAGTGCTTATTCTACTGAGCCATCTCCACGGCCCTGTGGACATAATTAATGAGAAAAAAGCACATATGAATTGATTGGCTTTTAAGTTCTTACCTCAAGCCAGTGACCCGACTGGACACGTTGTAACAGTGTCCAGTTTAAAGGAAAGATGTAGTTTTGTGTTTCTTTTTTCTCCCTTGGTAGGAATGACTATTTTCAAATTTTTGTCTCGTCTCCTAGGGCCGAAGGAGACTTGTTCGAGATGTAAATTCTATTAAAAAGGAATTTGAAGAAGAGAAAACAGAAGACAAACTAAAAGATATTGATACAGAAAATAAGGATGTGGACGATGACTATGACACTGCAGAGAAAGAAGAAAACGGGCTGCTACTGGGGAGAAAAACTACACCCAAGCCAAAAGAGAAGAGAGTCAGAAAGCAAGAGGGCTCCGACCGAGACTCGGAGGGCGAGGACGAGAAGAGCCAAGAGAGGTACATTAGCTTACGTTTGCTCTTCAGAAGCTCCTGTCTCGGGTTCGACAGCGCTTCGCTCAGCGCTGCTAGCGATTCAGGGTTGAGGGAGCGTTTTCTTATTGGGACTTCCGTTCCTCTTGTCTAATGAAGGTGAGACACATTGTGAAGATGATGTGTATTGCCTTCCGGAATTGGAGAATACCCTGGTCGCACCATTTTAATAGCACTTGTGCCCTAAACAGTGGCCTCAAAGAAGGCTGCGCCACCCAGTCAAAAGAAAGGTCCTGCAGTTGACAGCAGGGAAGGGAGCTGGAGAAAAATGGAGGAAGTGGACAAGAGGAAACAGCGACAGCAAAAATTCCATTTTAAAAAAGGTACAATGTGGGAAAGCTAACAGACACGGGTGCAGAGTACTAGCAGATGTTTCTGTGTGTTAGCTTTGATCTAAGACAGCTTTCTTTTTCAAGTGAGTGTATTAGAGTAAGTGGCATGCACCCCTGATTCAAGTTTGCAAAAGACATTCTTGCCCCACATCTCATCAGTAAATTTCAGCTTTTTTATGTCCATCTGTTTGCTGTTGAATGAGACTGTTTTTCCACATGCTAGACATGTATGGACTGAATTGACTTCACACGAGCTCCAGGTCAGGCAGGCCAGCAGTGTAGTGTCTGCTTGTGCTTGTTCGTGGCCATTCTGTAAATGTTGTCGGTGGATTTACTAATTTTTAGATAATACTAAGAGTCAAAATATTTAATGATAAATAACGATACCACACTTATTGGAAATCTAAGCTCTCCTCATGGACACTTTGCATTTTATCATGGAAGTCAAAGTTGCCTGGAAGTTCGCTTGGGAAGCTACCTTTGGGAAAGGTGACGTGCTGAACTCGTGATTGGATGGTGACATTGCCTGAACCCTAACAAAGAGGCGTATTTAGAACAACAGGAATAACTGAGTAGGAGAGGTGATCAGAGTCCGTGTCAACAAGGTGTACTTTGGTGACACATGAAAGATGAAGTAAAAAGATGAAAGTTGGGTAGCTCAGTGTAACTAGGGAGGTATTGGGAGGCAGTGATTAAGAGCCGAGCGTTACGCAGAAAGAATCTGTGCGTATGAGTCATTTGTGGCCATTGAAGGGCTTTATAACTGATGTGCAAAGGGAACAAAGATGTACTTCATAGAAAAATGCACCGACTGGTATGAACAATAATTTTCATTTTATTAAATAACAACTGCATGTACAGGCAGCGAACACAGTCCACATTTGATTTCAAATAATTTTTCTCATAAAACTACCTCTCCAGGCAATTAATTAAAGGTACACTGGAGAGAATATGCTTCCACAGTAAGCCAGCTGCCAAAGCTTCTTGGAGTTGCGTCCTCTAAGAGCCCAGTGCCTCTTCTTAAAGCTTCTAAAATTGTAACTCCAGCAGTCTGGGAGGCTGGACCAGGAGAATCACAAGTGTGAGCACAGCCTAGGCAACTTACCAAGACCCTGTCTCAAAATAAAAATTTTGAAGGGAGAGATGAGGATGTAGCTCAGTGTGAACATCCAGGGTTAAATCCTCAGTGTTATGCAAAAAAACCCAGCTGACCTTCTATAATATTTAGGTGGGTTTTTTTAATGCAGTTTGCTTCTTAATACCCCTGGACTCATACAGAATCTGCGCACACACACACAAACACACACATACACACACTATGGGGATTAAACTAGAGCCTTGGGCTATTGACTATACCACTGAGGCATACCGCAACCCTAACCCCAACCCCCATCTCCATCCCCAATGTGTTATGGTGAAAATATTAAAAATATTGTTGGAGGGCTGGTGAGATGGCTCAGTGGTCTAAAGCACCTACTTAGAACAAGCTTAGCAGAGCACAGGGACCACGGTTCAATCCCCCAGCACCACATGCCAGCCAGCCCCGCCCCCTGGTGGGCTGAGCTGGCCACACACAAAAAAAAAGTAAATAAATAAAATTTAAAAAATATATTGTTGGACTTCTCTATCCAAATCTCCTTTATATCAGATTATCAGATCAAAGATCTGATGGGAATAGAGTAAAGAAATAAAAATCAATCCAAAATATGTACAGCTTTGTTCTCCTGTGCTATTCAGTGACAAGAAGGACCATCATATTTAAACATTTATTGTTTCTATGCTAGCGTGGGTGAAGCCTCTAAAATATAAGCTAGCCAAGGACACGACTGTTAAGGTAGATAGCCCTCATTCATTATTTCAAACTAAAGCTCCCAGGCTTGCACAGAGCTATTCTAAAATGGGTGTAATGTAATAATAAAGTATATTTAAGCTCATTTCATTGTAGGAAGTTGCGAAATACCTTTACATCATTCTTGAGCATAAATCCAGAGATTTTTTTCAGAGCATATTGTTTCTGTTTCACTGTATCAAAAGTGCCTTGTTTGGCTACATTCTTCATTAACTGTGGTTATTGATTGGCCTTTAAGAATATGGATTTACTTTTGGTACAGTGCATAATAAATTCCTAAGGAGTCCATAAAAATCTTCTCCTTCTCCTCCTTCTTCTCCTCCTCCACTGACATGTTATTAAGGTAATGCTTAGGTTGTGAATATTCTGCACTGTGGATTCATTATAAAATATATCATTTTGCTCGCTGGTAAGTTATTAGTAGCATTATCAGTGTTATGACTTACTGCAGGGAAGAAACGGAGAGCAAATGTGACTCAGAAGGGGAGGAAGATGAGGAAGACATGGAACCCTGTCTAACGGGAACCAAGGTGAAAGTAAAATACGGACGAGGAAAAACTCAGAAAATCTATGAAGCCAGCATTAAAAGCACTGAAATCGATGATGGAGAAGTTTTATACTTGGTACATTATTATGGATGGAATGTCAGGTAAGCAAGAAAGTACTTCCTTAGTACTAAAATCGTGGAGTGTTTAGATCACTTTAATGTTGTGAAGAACTGGAGAAATGCGTTGTGGATGGGGGAGTGACAGCACACCTAGATCCTGCTGTCTCGGGCCTTTGATGTTTACATTGCCTTCCTCGCTGTGTTGGCTTCCGGGGAGAGACTACTAGGGCCTCCACTGCGGAAGCTGGCTTTGTACTTGTCCCTCTGAGGCAGCTTAGGGCCCTTGGGACCCAGGGCACTCAGGACAAGGCCCTGTGAAGTCACAGGGTGAGGGTCGGGTATCAGATGTGCAATGCTCAGTTAGGCAGACTTGATATCACTTACCTGAAATCAAGCTGTGCTGAGCATTTTACTAATTCTGACTTTGGTTCATTGATAAGAAGGAATATTAGAGTATCACCGTGAGCTTCTGCTAAGGAACTTGGGGCAGGTCAATAGAAAGGAGACTTGGCTCTGATACTGGGTACTGTTAGGAAGCTGGACTAATTTATGATTAGTTTTCTTAATAGATCTTGCTGGAAGAAGGACAAAGCGTAGGTCAAGGTTAACACTATAACTAGTGAAGAAGTATCAGCAGCTCATTGGGGGAGAAGGACTACTGAGTCATTTTGATGGCTTGGACAGTTTTCTGTTTTTACCCCTATGTTCAGATCTGATTAGGGAGTAGTCCTTTTTTTTTTTTTTTTTTTAATAGTGCTGGAAAGTGAACCCAGGGCACTCTACTACTGAACTCCATCCGTAAGCCCTATTTCCACTCTTGGCTTTTGTTGTTTGTTTGTTTGTTTGCTTGCTTTTAGAGACAAGGTTTTACTGTGTAGTTCAGGCTGACCTTAAATTCAGTGGCCTCAAATTCCCAGAGTTTCTTTCCCCTTCCCAAGTGCTAGGATCACAGGTGTATGCCACCACAGTCTTTGTTTTGTCTTTTTTTTTCTTTTTAATCCAGCATAGGCTCAGGCCCAGAGCCCACTTGTCTGATCGCATTGATGTTCTATGAAATTGAAGCCTTCACGGCAACACCGATGCCCAGGGTCTTACTTCCTTTCTTGTTGCTGGGACAAAGTCCCTGACTCCCACAAGTGAAATCAGGAGAAGTTTATCATGGCGCTCAGTTTGCAGGTTTCAGCCCACAGTCAGCTGCCCTGGCAGGGCTGAGCAGTGTGGTAGACCTTCCAGGCCACGCCCCCAGTGCCCACCTCCTCCCACCGGGCTCTGCCTCCCAGATCACCTTTATCTCTGACCTCGTGAGGGGATCAACCCGGCAGGATCCAATCGTCTCCCATCCCTGCACCTCCGTTTGCACCTGAGGCTTTGGGGCACATCCAGACATCAGCCGTAACACACAGCCTGGTGCCCCATCAGTTCCTGGACATCAGGGGCTCCTCTGCTTCCCCTTTGGAGAATCCTGTGTGTTGGAAATCTCAGCCTTCCCTGGCTCTACCCGAACTGCTCCAGGGTTTCTCCACAAAGCAGAGGTGTGTTTTGTGATGCCTCAATTTCCTCTTCCCTGAATTGGGGAAAAGAAAGTGCTTATTAATGGGAAAGTTGGAAAGTAAAAGTAATCCCTGTATTAGCTTATGAAGATCTTAGCATCCTCCCTGGCCCATAGGAGCTCAGGGACTGATAACTGCTCTATTGTGTTTTCTTTTTTAATTTGGCATTTTAAAGGATATGCACTTAATGAACTGAATATACGTTTTTAAAATTTCTCTTTGCCGTGTGTTATTGAATTCAGGGAGAAAGGACTGCTTACCAGCTTCAGGTCACTGTCTTTGTCATTGTAGCATTTTGTAGCTGCCTTCTCCTGTCAGGTTTTATCCACTGCTCTTTGCTGTCTCTGTGTGTCTCAGGTCTGCTTTCTAGAACTTTCCCTTCTTGTCTTCTTTCTCATCTTATTTTTCTTGCTTTTCTTTTTCTTTGTTTTGTGATGCCAACCAATGGTCTGTTTATGATACGCTCAGGTTCTTGTCCTCCTCATGAGGTGCCTGCTGCTGTCTCAGCTACTTCCATGCACCTGGAAGTGCATCTGATTCCAGCCTGCTTGCGCAGATATTGTGTGTGTTGTTCCCAAGTGTGCAGGGAGCTTTCCAAAATGCCAGCATCGCGAGTGTGAGGGACATCCTGGTCTCTAGTGAAGAAATCCTGGGGCTGCCATTGGCACCAGCAGTACCCCATGGCTTGAACTGGGCCAGTGTGGTCTGGCCTGAGTTACCCCAGATCAGTCCTGGGCCCAGAATATTTTGGAAGTGAAAAGTGAACTCCTTATTACCCATGAGACCAATGTATAACGTACTGCATTATCAGACTCTGCCGGATTTTCTTACACATTTGTTTTTCATATGAGAGCAGATGGCACGAGTACCAGGCCTTGTTCTGTGTGCTCTCTGCTCTTCCTGCAGCATCTGGCACATGCTAGGTCCTCGTAAATGCCAAGAGATGACTCGTTCCAAAGTACAGACTGACAGCTGAGTCTGTCCAGTGCTTGGAGTTGGTCCTGTTTCAAAAGCTTTACATATTAAAAAAGGAAAAAAAAATCCTTTAGATATTGGACTAATCCAGCAGGAGATCATTTTCAAACCGTAGCATAGATGTCACGGTACCATCTCATTTGAAACGTGTGCAAATTGAAACCATGTCCTTACTTTGCACGTTTCCATGGTATCTGGTTTATAAAGTGAAGTTATAGTTCTAAGATGCAAGTTTATTAGCATGGTGCAGCTTAGTGTGAAGGCTGCCTGTAGATTTATTACTTAAATATTCATACCTTAGATTTTGATTATTATTATGCTTTATAGTCCTACACACATGTGTATCTAAGGCATGTGATTGAGAGCTGGGCTTGGAGGTACATGCATATAATTCCAGCACTCCAGTGGCTGAGGCAGGAGGGTTTCTGGGAGTTTGAAGCTAGCCTAAGATACATAGTGATACTTAGTTTCAAAGACCAAAAGAAAAGGCTTATTTCTAATTATTTCTTTTTTTTTAAAATTTTTTTTTAAATTTATTTGAGAGAGAGAGAGAGAGAGAGAGTGGTGTGTGTGAGTGTGGCCACCTCAGCCCACCAGGGGGCGGGGCTGGCTGGCATGTGGTGCTGGGGGATTGAACCGCGGTCCCTGATGCTTTTGCTGAGCTTGTTTTAAGTAGGTGCTTTAGACCACTGAGCCATCTCTCCAGCCCTTCTAATTATTTCTAAAAGGCTTATTTCTAATTCTAATAAAGGCTTATTTCTATTAATTACTTGTCTCGGTGCAATAACTTGGACTGGGTTAGTTGAAATTCCAAAGCAGTATCAGTCTTTTAGAAGAAGGTGCAGAGGAATTGAGTCTTCAACCTGAATTTAGTATAAGAGACTTACATAAAGAAAATCGTGTATTTCTGTAATAAGAGGTTCAGGGCCTGAAAGGTGACACAGGTCAGAACAAAATTGTTACTAGATACACTAGAAGCTAGAGTGAGTTCTTGGGAGGAAAAGAGAATTGATAAAGGTTTTGATTAAAATAATCTAAAACTGATCGTGTCTCAAATCTGCATTTATCTAATTTGTCTTTGTATTATTCGTTAATAGAACAAATACCAGTACAGAAGCTGCTGATAATTTCATTTTAGTAAGAATTTTCATTTGTTGCTCTCATATTTTACAAGTTCCTCATTTTATTTGGTGATTTTGTTAACAAACGATACCTGTTTATAATGCAGTAAAACCTTATTCATGTAAGGTTATTAGAATAAAAAGACAACTGTAATGCTTCCAAGGAAGCAGGGTTTTTTAATTAAAAAATACATAGCTGGCATGGTGAGACACAGCTGCATACTCAGGAGGCTGAAGCAGGAACATCCTAAGTTTGAAGCTAGCCTGGGCAATTTAAGACCTTGTATAAAAATAAATTATTTAAAAATGAAAAGACAAAAAGAATTTGCTGATAATGTCAGATCTGTGGGAATTACGGAAAACAAAGAAATGCAAAAGGCTTTGAGGTCCGGCCAGACAGCTCAGCGGATTAAAGCTCCTGCCTAGGCGGAGCACAGGGGCCGGGGTTTGATTTCCGGCGTGGCTTGCCGGCCCCACCCCTGGGGCATGCTGAGACTGTGACTGAGACTGGGCATGGTGGCGCTTGCCTGTAATCCCAGCACTTGGGAGGCTGAAAACAGGAGCATTACTGGGTCAGATCTGGGTAGTGGGACCCTATAGACCCTGTACTAAATACAAAAGAAATATAAAGCTTTGAATCTGCTTGGCATTAGTTACCCATACCTCCTTCTGAACCCATGAAGTGGGCTAGCCACCCCCATGGAGGGTAGACTCTCAGACACACACACCCCCCTGCCCCCCGACAGCTGCCCTGCAGGGCACCGAGGTGCCAGCCATGCGCCTTTCTCATCCCTACCAGTACTGGGAGTACACACTTTCTCTTGCTGCTGTTTTTGTTTGGTGAATATATTTCAAATAAGGGTGTCATTACAAAATGCTAAATTTTTGTTTTTAAGGTATGATGAGTGGGTGAAGGCTGACAGGATCATCTGGCCTTTGGACAAAGGTGGCCCAAAGAAAAAACAAAAGAAGAGAGCCAAGGTATCTTTATAGGTTCATATTCTTTTTTGCTGGGCATAGGAATTAACTCGAATTATATCTTTTTTTTTATGTTTTCATTTGTTTATTTTATTACTTATGGGGGTCTTTTTGAGACAGAGTCTCCTCCCTATGTAGTTCAAACTGGCCTTGAGCTCATTTTAGCCCAGGCTGGTCTTGAACTTGCAAAGATCCCCCTGCTGAGCCTCCCTGGTGCTGGGATTACAGGCATGCACCACCACGCCCGCTTGTTTTCTTTTAGAGCAGTTAAGGCTCACAGCAAAACTGAGAAGAAGTTCTAGTGATTTCCCATAGGAAGCCTCTGCCCCTTAAGTGAGTGAGGAGTCGCCTCCACCAAAGCGCTGCATTTGTTAAGACGGTTGGTGACCGTTGGTGACCTGCCTTGCCACAGGGTTTCCACTGGCTGATGTATGCTAAAAGGCCCACACTTGGGCTGGCAAGGTAGCTCAGTGGTCTAAAGCTCCAGCTTAGGCAAGCTTAGGCAGGCACAGGAACCTCGGTTCAATCCCCGACCCCACGTGCTGCACCAGTCCTGCCCTGACGGTGGGCTGAGCTGGCCACACAATACTCACACATCCCGAAAGGGGCCACGTGGCTCCAGGGCAGTGGACAAAAGTGCAGGGTCCGCATCCAGCATTCTGGTGTCTTGTGGGTGGACCCAGTGCCTCAAAGACCCTGTGCGTGGCCAAGCCCCCTCCCTCACCCTGAATTCTGGCCACCACAGACACTTTACTGTCTCCAGAGTTCCACCTTCTCCACAATGTCATGTTGCCACAGTCATGTAACACAGAACTTATAAATTGATTTCTTTCATTTACAAGTATGCTGAAGTATTATTACTAGATCTTCATTCTCACTGTAATAATCATGTTGACAAGATAGTTTCTCTGTTATAACTCAGGCATTAATAAACTAAGAATGTTAAATACATTGCTACATAGTTTGACGGAGAAGTGACAACCAGCATTCACTGTACCCTGGGCTCCAAACTCACGCCTGTGGGTCTCTCCTCATAGGAGAAGGTAGAGTCAGGCAGATAGTGGGGCAGGAGCAGCATGCGCCCTGGGGAGGTTGGACATGATCACCCAGATGTGAAGGCGCTGCCCTCAGGGTTGCCAAATAGAGGATCTGGGAGAACCACCATTTTTAAAAAAATGTGAAATCTGATTTTTAAAAGTGGGGAGCAGATAGTAAAATCGTAAACACATGTACCAGGCATTGAGCCCTTCACCATTCCTTCAGTCTTCTGCTTTGGCATTGGAGACTTGCTGGTGTTTGTCTTTGACACTTTCTGTGTGCAGGGCCAGCAGGGTCAGCTGTCGAACAGCACAGTGTCACTGCAGTGTCACTGCTGCATGAGAGCAGGATCCTGTGCACAGTTTAGAAAAGGCTGCTTAGTATTTCTGTAAGTGTAAATTAAGAGTCAACAAACAGGACCAGTAAGCTAGCTCAGTGGACTAAGCACCTGCCTAGGCAAGCCCAGGGATCAGGGTTTGATCCCCGGCACTACGTGTGTGCCTGCCCTGCCCCTGAGCGTGCTGAGCTGGCCTCTGAGTCTGAGCATGGTGCTGCATGCCTGTAATCTCAGCGCTGGGGAGGCTGAAAACAGGAGGGTCACTCCGAGTCTGAGCTGCATAGTAAGACCTTATACCAAATACATTAAAAAAAAAATTGTCAATAAATAATGACTGACCTTCTTTGTTTTTATAGTTTTCCTGGGAGAAGTAGAATATTTTCTCTAGATGTTGGCCCTTCTCACACATTCTTTGTTGTTCCCCAGAATAAAGAAGATGGCGAGAAGGAGGATAAGCGGGATGAGGACAGGCAAAAGACGAAGCGGGGCCGGCCTCCTTTAAGGTCTGCCCTCTCGTCCAGCCTGCCCTTCGGGTTATCTAGGACAGCAAACAGCGAAGGAAAATCAGGTACCTGCCTGCAGCTCACCTTTGTCCGTTGGAGTGGGGGTGCTCACTTTTGAGGGTCACCTATGTTTACAAAATCAAAACTTTTGGGGCAGGGGACATAGCTCAGCAGCACAAGTGCCTGTCAGACAAGTGCCTGGTCCCAAGTTTGATCTCCAGTACCGCAAAAAAAAAAAAAAAAAAGAACTCTTCTATTTCTGCAGTCGCACTTCATTTACTAGCAGGGATACATTCTGAGAAATGCCCCTGTGCAGACATCACGGCGTATCCTCCCACAAAGCACGAGGCCATGGTGCCACAAGGTCCCTAGACCACTGTCATGCACGTGCTGTTGCGGGCCAGAGCATTATTTTGTGGCACCTGACTGTAAAATTACCATTGTGTAAAAGCTTCTTAGTTGATTACCCAGGTTTCATCATTTCTTTTTTTTTTTTTTGGTCGGAACCGGGGATTGAACTCAGGCCCTTGCACTTGCCAGGGAAGCACTTACTCTACTGAGCCATCTCCCTGGCCCCAATCTTATTTCATTTAAAGTACAAAATTTAATTTGAAGCTAAAGCTTATTTTGCTGTATTTGCTATTTAAAATTTAGCAATAGTTTAATCTTGGAATATCTTCTCTTATAAATTCCCTGTCTCCCTGAGGGCGAATTGCTCCTCCTGCGCCCCGGGACATTGCATGCTGTTTTCCTTTGAGGCATGCCCCAGTGTCCCCTGTACATTTAGCACGCTTCACCTCAGAACTACCAACCAGACCTGGGCCATAGGAGTGTTTTGTGGCGAGCGGAGCCAAAAATATTTCATTCTGCTTTTATTCTTTTGTAATTTAAGACATTCTAAGTGCTGTCTTCCACAGCAGCCCTTTCCTCTAGGGAAGTGCTGTTCTGAGCCGTACACAGGGCTCCCCTCAGTGCTGGGGGAGAGCCAGTGGCCTGGCCTGCAGGCGCCTTTTCTCTTTACTGCCATCTGCTGGAATGTGGTCACAGTACTCGGGTACACAGATGCCCACCAAGTACAAGGTACCTTAGGTGGCTCGTCCGTGTGCAGTATACAGCCTACACAACCAAACATAGCAGCCTTACTAAACTGCTTCATGAAAAAAGTTTTGTTCATTTTTTGTACCGGGGAGCGAACTCAGGTCCTTGCACTTACCAGGCAGGCACTTAGGCTGCTGAGCTATCTCCCAGGCCCGAAAATGTATTTTTAAGCATCAGAAAAATGAACTTGTTTATAACAGAACCACAAAATAAAAATGTATATCTCTTTTCACTTGAAAAATATATTCAGCATTTGCCTTTTTGAGTTTTAGTATATGAGCACGTTTGTATTTCACACTTCTATGTAGTGTTGGAATTCACCTTTATTATTTAAAGAATTGTGTGGCATAAAGGGAATAACTTGTTTTGTGAGGAGGTGGCTTGCCTGTACTTTCATGTCTGATACTAAGAATATTTAAAGATCTGAGGGGCCAAGGAGATAGCGCGGCAGTCTAAGTGCCTCCCTGGCAAGCATAAGGACCTGGGTTTGATCCCCGGTACCATGTGCCATGCCAGCCCAGCACCAAGCTGGCCACTGAAACTGGGCATGGTGGCACACGCCTGTAATCCCAGTGCTGGGGAGACTGAGACAGAAGGATCACTCCTATGAGTCTGAGCTACATGCTGAGACCCTGTACAAACGAACGAATGAATGAAAGAAGGAAAGACTTAGAAACATAAAGATTTGAAAATTTATGCAGCTCGTTTTAAATGTCTTTTTAGAATTAAGTGAAATATCATATTCCCTTCTTAGGACCCAAAGCAACCACCATACATATTAATCAGCATTTGCTAGATCCTAGGTCAAACCATTTAATATATTCATGTTTTACTATTAGTCCTTTGATTTTTTTTTTAATGTGCTTCACAGTGGTCTAAATAATACTCGTGAAAATTGCGGAGTAGCCGCTATGTATACAGAATTAAATATGTAATATATTTTCACACATTTTACTTGGAAATTCCCTCCCCGTAAAAAGTTTTGGTTCAGCTACCTGATTTATCTGATATATGAAGTGTGTCTGGGGAGTATTCTTCGCTTTTAGTTTTTGAGACAAGGTCTCATGGTGAAATGCAGATTGAATTCACTGCAGACCTCCTGCCTCAGGCTCCTGAGTGCTGAGATGACAGGCGTGTGCCACCACGCTCAGGCTGTATAGGCACATTCAGAGGCACGTGATCGGAAGGGATTTTTATTACAATGCATCGCGACATGACTAAACCATGATTGTAAGCTTTCGCTACGGAATGAGCATGAGGCTGAGAACCCGAGTGATGCGTTGCTTCCTTTTGCAGACTCCTGTTCATCTGATAGCGAAACAGAAGACCCTTTAGACAAGAGTTTGATCAGTGAAGAACTGTTTCCTGATTCTAAAGAAGAATTAGAAAAATCTGACTCTTTAAACGATGACAAGCTCGATGAGGAGACGGCCAAGATGGCTGCACACGCGCTCCGGGAGCCGGACGGGACGCCGGTGCCTTTGCTGGAGGCCCTGCAGCCCGAGGCCGGCGAGGGTGAGCAGGTGGCCCAGCTTTTCGGAAGCAAAGTGGAGCGAGGTGAGGATGTCAAGAAGGACACAGAGAAGTCTCCAAAAGGCAAGGGAAGGCGAAGCAAGACAAAAGAGATCTCTTTAGAAATTATAAAGCTGGCGTCGTTTGGCCCAGGGGAAGCCGGGAGTGAGGCTCCCGGGAACGGCCCTGTTCCTGACCTTTCCTCCCTGGACAGCAAGAGCTCGGCTTCGGCGGCTGAGGATGATGTCGACCCGTACGGGAAGGACAAAAGGCTGAAGCGGAAACTGCCTGGGCTGCCATCCCCGGAGAAGAAAGCCAGAATGGAGAACGGACTGGGTGTGGCCGTGGCCGGGGACATCGAGGCCCCAGGGAGTCCTGAGTGCACTGGGTTGCACGCTGGAGTTCCCCACAGTCGCTGCCCCTGTACACAGGACCCCCCAGTGGGCATCGCGCCACTGCGGGTCGAGGACGACGTCCTGCCGCTGATTGGGCCTGAAACCCTGGTGTGCCACGAGGTAGACCTGGACGATCTAGACGACAGGGACAGGGCTGCTGCGCAGGAGGCCAGTTCCCCGGGTCCTGGGCCCCCTGGGCTCCCCACGGCTGCCTCACCACTAGCCCTCAGCCAGGATGGGTCCAGGAGCGAGAGCGACACCACAATCGAGGTGGACGGCGTGGCCATAGAGGTGGACAGCGTGGCCGAGGAGCTGCCAGAAGGCCTCTGCGAGCCGGAGCTGGGAGTGGCCGGCAGGCTGGACACAGGCCCCGCCGCCTGCAGCGAACCCACGCAGGACCGAGAGGGCAGAGAGAAGGGTGAGGCTCCACGGGTCACCTGGGCGGTGAACCACACGTGGCCTTAGAAGTCCCAAATACCATCCTGCATGGTGATAATCAGTACAAGTTAGTGCATCGGGGCACTCCCTGTCCCCTTCTCTTTTTGTTTCTTTTCCTTCAAATTCTCTTTCTCTCATTTCAGGTCAGAAAAGGCCAAGCGATGGAAACAGTGGATTAATGGCAAAAAAACAAAAGCGTACCCCCAAACGAACAAGTGCCGTAGCCAAAAATGAAAAGAACGGAGCAGGTTGGTGCTTCCACACTGGCGGAGGTGCGGTGGTAGTTATTTCTGCAGTTGGTTGGTTTGATCATTGGTGTCAGTTTGACGACATAGCTGGTTTATGATTTTATAAAAGAAAATAGTCATTTTTGTGCTAACTTTATAAACTTTTAAAATTGTTTTATTTCTGTAGTTTTTTGAGACAGGGCCTCACAGTGTAGTCCAGGCTGCTCTTGAGCTCGTTTTGATCCTCTCGCCTGAGCCTCTTGAGTGCTGGGGTTACAGGTGCCACCATGCCGAGTTTAAAGGAGTCTTAAGAGAAGTAACCAAAATAGTGTGTGATTCTTACCAGGCTTCCATTGCTCTAAAGTGTGTGGAGTAATATATCCAGCCTCACTTCCCGGCGTTAACAGCTGCGTTGTGGTTCTGTCGCAGTCGTGGTAGTTGTAAGACCATACCCACAAATTCAGAGATTGCTTTCCCTTCAAGAAATGAAGCCTCGGGGCCAGGGAGATGGCTCAGTGGAATAAGCGCTTCCCTGGCAAGTGCAAGGGGCTGAGTTCAATCCCCGGTTCCGCAAAAAAAAAAAAAAAAAAAAGAAATGAAGCCTCGTTCACCTCCCTTTGAGTGTGGGATAACGTTAGTGACCCACTTCCCACAGTGGCAGCGAGGGCGCCTTCAGAGGCTGGGGCACAGCAAGTGCTGCCGAGTCACCTCCTCTGGGTCAGGTTGGCGCTGCGTCATAAGCCCATTAAAGCAGCCCAGGAGAAGCCCAGGGGGGCGAGGAGCTGGAGGAGTGGCCACGGCAGCCAAGATGCTCCCAATGTGGAGCCTCAGACACGCCCCCAGAATGTTTGCTTAAACATTTGTGGTTTTAAACTTAAGATCTGGGGCTAAGGTATAACGCAGCAGGAGGCAACTGACCCTCAGAGAAGTTGCATGCAAGGCAAGAAGCACTTGGACGGCAAGATAACCTACTCTCAGATAGGTTAGATACCATGTTTTGTTGTTAATTATATACATTTTTTGTAAGTTTCAAGATTACTTCACATATAAAGTTTAAAAGACTTTACAAGGAAGGAAAGAAGGACATGATCCATTCCACTGTTTAGAAAGAATCTTTTGGTTCACTAAGGCAGTAAAAAGCCAAATGAAGGAGATCTAGCAAACCATTAGGATTCACTTATGAATGAGGAGGCGGAGCAGAAGTGGTTCCACAGCATAGCCATGCACAGGCGAGTGGACCAGAGCTGGGCATCAGAGAGCCATAGTGAGCTCAGAGAGGAGCCCCAGCTGCTTCCTGGACAGTTGTGTCTGGGACCCGTAGGAGGACGAGGTGAGGCTAGGAGGTGCGGCGGTCAGGGTAGCAAGGAGTTTTTCCTTCCAGAAATAGGACCTGGATCAAAGGGAAGCAAGTGTGTACTACAGGAAGATCTGCTCCTCCCTCTGCTGTCAGGCTAGGAAGGATCCAGGCGTGCGCGTAGGCTCTGGGAATGCAGAATTGGCAGGGAAGAGGACGTGCTGGTCCGTGTATGGGCGTTCCACAGAAGCTGGAGGAGAACGTGCCAAGAGGCAGTGAAGAGATTAATTCCTCCTTAGAAAAGACTCAGCCTTTTCAGACAAAAAACAAACAAAATCCCAAACTCACTAAAAGGATAAGTTTTACCTTCAGCTATGCTTTTTCAGTAGAAAGCAAGGTGGACTTTGGCTTTTGAAAATGAATACAGGGGTAGAGTTTGAAAGAAAAGAAAAGTTGAGCATTCCAACTTATTAGGGAAAACCAACACGTCCCTTAGGACAAGTTGGGAGGACGAAAGCAGTTACAAATAAGTATCTTCTCACGTTTTTACTCTATAGATTTTAAAAGTTGGATATGTATCATTGAGATATTTTTGTGCTTTCTCCATAGTTTGAGTCCTCTCAAATTGTTCTTACATTTTGCTTTCACAAAAATGGAACAGCACTATATTATTTTATGACCTCTTAATCTTTTTTTATACTGATAAGCTGATAAATGTTTGCAGCATTTCTCTTTTTCTTTTTTCATTTATGTATTTGGTACAGGGTCTTACTATGCAGATTGAACTCATGGAGATCCTCCTGTTTTCAGCCTCCCCAGCACTGAGATTACAGGCGTGCGCCACCACAGGGCCGGCACAGCATGCAGGGCCAGGGATCAAACCCTGGTCCCTGCACTTGCCAAATAGGCCCTTAGTCTGCTGAGCTATCTCACCAGCCCTTGTTTGCAGCCTTTCTTTCTTTCTTTCTTTCTTTCTTTCTTTCTTTCTTTCTTTCTTTCTTTCTTTTTTTCTTTTTTTAAACTGTTACACACTTTGTGCGTTTATAGTTTGGGTTTTTTTGGTTTGGTTGGTTGGTTTTGTTTTTTTTCCTGATACCAAGAAGTGGAGTGGGGAGGTCTGTTGCACTTTGGTAACTTTGAGTTTATGAACTGTAGTCTGTAAGAGAACTTCATTATTCCTGTTACAGGGCAGAGCAGCGACAGTGAAGACCTCCCTGCTGTGGACAGCTCCAATAAATGTACTCCAGTAAAGCATCTTAATACATCTAAGCCACCAAAGCTCGCGCGCTCTCCGGCCAGAATCTCCCCTCACATCAAAGATGGAGAGAAAGAGAAGCAACGAGAAAGGCATCCCAATTCCTCCCCCCGGACATACAAGTGGAGCCTTCAACTCAGTAAGAAGCTCATAGATAACCTGAGAGTAAATCCTAAGCTGCAATCTATACAGTGTCAGCGTGGCTTAATGTTAATAAAATAAGGAGTGGTGAATTAACAAGAAGAACACTGGGAGATAGCTCGGTGGTCTAAGTGCCTGCCTAGTAAGCCCAAGGACCCAGGTTTGATCCCCAGTATCGCATGCTATGCTGGCCCCAGAGCCCCGGGCGTGCCATGCCGTTCACTGAAGCAGGGCGTGGTGGCGCACATCTGTAATCACGGTGCTGGGGAGGCTGAGGCAGGAGGATCACTGTGAGTCCCAACTGGGTAGTGAGACCCTATACCAACTAAATAAATATATAAAAGATCTTAAAAAGAATAAAGAAAAATGTATCAATTTTATAAATCAGTAAAACTGAAGTGCCCTTTATATATAGTACCCTGTATTGACTTTTTTTATATTTTTGTGATCACTTAAGTATTACATG